AAGGAAAAGGCACGCTTGAGTTTCTTTCATAAAAACAGTGTGATGTGACTGATTTTCAATCATAGCTGCTAACTGGTATTAAGTAACTGTTAGTATTATTGTGTTTTATATAGATTATCTTAATAGTTGCTGCAGTCCTACCTGCCCGAGACTGTTTTTACCCCCGTCTTACCCATGGGGGAACAGACAGTGGGAGTTTAGCAACTGTCAGAGCTCAGATTCACATCCTAAAAGACCACAGGGCCTTATTCCTAATTTCACCAAGACCTCTTCTCCCAAATTACACATATTTATTAAACCTGTTTTCTTCACTTAGTAACTTACCTTAAATTTTTTTCTTAAGGAATATAAGTCAATATCATTGTTAGTAAATGTATTATATGCCATTATAACAGACCATAATTTATTTCATCTGTCCTCTACCATGAGATATTTCTATTTCTTTCTTTTATTTTTTTTTTTCCATCTTTTAAAACAATTTTCTGGAAAATCTGAATAAAATTGATGGATTACATCCGTATCAATGTCCTGATTGTTACATTGTCCTATAGTTTTGTGATGTGTTACCATTGGGGTCAGCTGGGTAAAGGGTACACAGGTTCCCTCTGTATTATTTCTTGCAACTGCATGTGAGTCAACAATTATCTCAAAACATTTTTAAAGCCGTCCCGTTTTTAAAAAGTCTTCAACATTCTTGTACACATATTTGTACACCTCTTTCTGTTTCCTTGGGATAAGTGTTCCCAAAAGAGGAATTTTGCATCAAAATCCTATCTTTGTTAAGTGCCTACAAGGGGCCTGGCCCTGTGGTGTGAGCACTGGGAACGAGCGATGACTGAGCACATCATTACCTGCACGTTGCCCATAACCCGGCCCGAAAGGGAGACTGAATGGAAGCCCTGGGCAGCCTGCAGTCAGGGTCTGTGGAGACTCGTAGGTGACGTGCTCCAAAAGGTGCTGGGAAGGAGAGAATCATTCTCACGGTTGTCAGGTCGTGACCAGATAACTGAATGCACGGGCTGTGTGTGGAGTAAAATGGAATTTGCTACCCGAGTTTTAGATCTTACAGGTCGTCTGTAATGACGTCTGATGCAAAGTGAAGACTGACAGGGTCAGGTGGTTTAGCATTTGTGCACAGGACACCGTGGCTGGAAGGCCAAGTTCAGAAGTCCACTTCAGCCTTCCAGTGAGACAGCTGTCAATGTCTGCAGAGCACCCCTTGGAATTCTGGTCCTGTGTCTAGTCGGTGCCCCAGCATGTGTGGGCATGGGGATGCACCAAAGAGCTGGTTTACATATTAGGAAGTGAAAGGAAATAAAAGTCAATGAGTAAAATAATGCAAAGATCATGTATTCTGAGCTTTTTTTCCCACCATGTCAAAAAGAGACTTTAAAAAAGAAGTTTCTCTGTTGTTTGAGAGTCCAACGGCCATTTAATGAATTTTTTTTAATTTTTTAAAGTTTGTTTATTTTTGAGAGAGAGTGTGAGCAGGGGAGGGGAGGAGAGAGAGGGAGACACAGAATCTGAAGCAGGCTTCAGGCTCTGATGTCAATACAGAGCCCAGTGTGGGGCTCGAACCCACGAACCGCACAGGTTCATAACCTGAGCTGAAGTCGGACACTTAACCGACTGTGCCACCCAGGTGCCCTGCCATTTAATGAACTTAAAAGAAACGCACACACGTATATACATCCAACCAACACCTGCTGTTACACACCAAGTGAGGTGTACTTAAGAAAATCAAGATCATGGGGTGCCCGGGTGGTTCAGTCGGTTAAGTGTCCGACTTCAGCTCAGGTCATAATCTCACGGTTTGTGGGTTTGAGCCCTGCATCGGGCTTTGTGCTGACAGCTCAGAGCCTGGAGGCTGCTTCGGATTCTGTGTCTCCCTCTCTCTCTCTGCCCCTCCTGCTCACGCTCTTGTGTCTCTCTCAAAAATAACCAAACATTCAAAAAAGAAGGAGAAAATCAAGATCAGACGGGGTTCAGGTCACCAGGACCACCAGCAGGTTCCGTGGTTCTGAGTGGACTCACATGATTCAACAGGCAGTCCTGCTTGTGGCCAGGGTTTATCCGGTGACAGGGCACACACCACAGTCAGCCAAGGGGCAGGCGCATGGGACAATGTCGGGAGGAATCCAGGCACACACTTCCAAGAGCGCCTTCCCAGTGCAGTGACCCAGGACATGCTTAATCCCCCAGCTTGAGTGACAGCAGCACATGTGAAGTGTCATCCACCAGGAAAGCTCATCAGGGCCCAGTCACAGAGGCACCGTCTGCCTGGTACGTCCCAGAATTGCAGACCCCCAGAGGAAAGCAAGGGTTCCGTATAAACCACATGGTTTCTACAGTTTAAGAGCAGTGAGCCGCCTTGTCAGGGAGTGGCGGGGACCCTCCGGAAGTCCAGCCAAGGGCCAAGAAATTTCAAACCTGCTCTTTTAGCTCTTTTCTGCATAAGGGATGCATAACTTTCCAGGCTTTTTCTTTCTGTTTCTCTGTGTTTCCTGTTTCTATTGATGTGTTACGGTTATTCTGTGTCTGTGTGTATCTGTATACACATACATATGTTCATATATAAAATACTGCAACTGTATTATTCTGTTTTGGTAGACTGATTTTTCTGCTGCCAATATCTCCGAAGTAGTCATGTCTTTTAAGGATTTCTCCCAACTTAGCATTTCATGAACATTTACTCTTTTACATCGTACTCGATGCAGTCAGCTTTTCTGGACTCAGTGCTGAACGTGGTGGCCTTTCCTTCACTGTATCCACCTGCCATGTCTTGACCAACCTCACCCCATCTAGAGGCCAGAACAGATTTGAGGGCACGGGATCCACACAGGGTTACCTTCAGCCCTGACACCAACTCCAAGTTCAGGACTTTCCCGAAATGACTTTCAGGTTCAATAAATCAGGACTAGAAGCATTCCTAGGATTCACTGAGAACTGTTCTCATAGTTACAGTTAATTACAGGGGAAGGATGCAGATTAACAAGCTTCCAGTGTCCAGTGTCCTCTCCCCATGGAGTTAGGACTGGATTCCCTGTCACAGGGACGTAGGACAATATGCATAGAGTATTGCCAAACGCCCAGAGTTTTCACAGGCCTGGTTGGTTGAATGATTGATCATCCAGGCATGATTGACTAATTGTCTCCATGCTAATCTCATTATCAGATCATGACCCAAAGCACCCACCCCGAACACCTGGGTTGGCCTTTCTTGTGTAGCCAGTTCCTGCCCTAAGACTAGTTGGGTATAACCAGAGGCACCAAAACAAAGACATTCTCATCAGGTGTGATGTAGGTCACCTCTTGGAAGTTGAAGGCAGGGGCACCTGGGTGGCTCAGTAGGTTGAGCACCCGACTCTTAATTTCACTCAAGTCATGATCCCAGGGTCGTGGGATCGAGCCCTGAGTTGGGCTCTGTGATGAGCATTGAGCTTGCTTAAGATACTTTCTCTCACTCTGCCCCCCTCCCCAGCTCTTG